GAGATTAATTTAAATTTAAACCGCTACTCTCAAACAAGAAGTCCATATGCTTGAGTAGTTGATCCGAATGGTTAGGGATGATGATGTCTTAAAGTGCGTAACCACCTAGTGAAACGGTCAATAGGTGAAAACCTGGGCACTTTGGGCAGTGGTTGCACCAATGACCTGTCTTGGACCATGACTCGTAGCTTAAGGCCAGCCTCGCAGTGACCCGTCTCCGAGCTTATAAAATAGTGAACTCCTGGTTTTGTGAGCCTAACGAGATCGTGTCCTGTCTTGTGCACAGCTACAGGTGAAGTCGTGTCGCAATAATTGAACTCAAGATGACCGCTGATTTCTAAAACATCGTTGACTTTGTTGCCGTATTCGAAAAACAAAGAATCTCCGACATAAAACGTTTTCTCCTCGCTCCACTTGTTGTAGAAGTCACTGTCGTAAACATTCCATCCTTTGTAGTCACCGACCTTGTAGAACTTTCCAGGAGGAAGGATCTTCCTCGGTGGTGGTGGAGGAACCGGACGTGACGGGTCTTGAACGACAAGAACGTTGAGCTTTTGTCCATATAGGCACTGAGAATGGTTTGAGCTGACAAAGTAGGTTCCGTGAAGGTCACGACATCGTGTCCCGTGTTGTATACGGCTTTAGGATAAGAATAGTCGCAGAATTCGCATTCCATAGCGCCCGAGACTTGAGTCACGTCGTTGAGTTTGGGATCGTATTCGAAGACGAGAGAATCTCCCACGTGGAATTCCTTACCCTTGACCCAATCGTAGTAGTAGTCTTTCTTTGCAGTCCATCCATCGGAGTCTCCGACTTTGTAGACTTTAGCCGAGCAGCAAGCCAAGAGAACCGTGAAGATCACCAACACGAAGCATAAAACCATCTTCTTTGTTGTGGCCATGATTCGAAGATAAAGATGAACAAATCGAGAAGCTAAGAAAAATATGATATTATTGTGAGGTGCTGAATATTGTTGTGAGCTGAGATTGCATAGAGCCTACCACTCTTTATATAGGTTTTACGATTCCTAATCCTTTCCTTTTTAGGATTTTGTTTATTTAATTTCATGATTAATCGAGAATTTAGTCCCTTTTCGTAGTATATTGTGGAAGTAAAATTTTTAAGTCAAAGCATAAATAGTGAATTTGTTTTTTCGATTAGGTTTTGACCAAAAAAAAAAAAGAGTTTTTTCGATTAGGAATCAGTACAAGATTTCAGTTAATCAGAAAAGGATTAGGAATCTTCGAAACTTTATTTTTTTTTTCAGGAGAAGAGGTGTGATGAATCCTAGTCCAAAATGTATTTTCCTCAAATAAAAATATATTGCAAAAATATTAAAACTTTGATTACTTTTGAAAAAAGGAAATAAACTACACAAAAATCCTAATAAAACAAGGATTATGAGATATTAACACCTATTTAAACAGTGTTAGGGTACATATTTTTTCTCACCAACAACACAAATCAATCATCAAAACCTCTCCAAAATTCAAGCGAGTTCAATATCATCTTTCTTCTTTTTCGTGTTTAACATCAAAATCATGGCTACAACAAAGAAGATCTTCTTCTGCTTCATTCTCGTGATCTTCACGGTTCTCTTGGGTTGTTGCTCGGCTACGGTCTACAAAGTCGGAGACTCCGATGGATGGACTGCGAAGGACGATGCCTACTATGATTGGGCCAAGGGTACAGAATTCCATGTCGGAGACTCACTCGTCTTCGAATACGATCCCAACTTCAACGACGTGACT